ATGGGATGGTTTGAAGATGTTTGAGGGACACAGTGTCTATATGTGCCTATATATAAGTTGTATTATGTGTTTTTCTTTCGGACGAAGATTGTTCTTTTCGTTGGGTGTGTCAAAAAGCCCTCAGGAGGCCCCGCCCTCAACGAGCCTTAAACCGCAGGTGCCACGATGAGCCATCGCGCCACGATCGGTGATCGTGCTGACCCCGCAATGGTCCGGCTGCTTGGGGCACTGCCAAGGCGCCGGAAAATCAGAGCGACCATGCAACCACCGGGTTGGGCATGTTCACTTGTGGAAGCAAACGAACTCCCTTTGGCGTGAGGCCGAAGAGGGAATGGCGTGAAGCCATTTGACAAAGGCCCTTTTTCGAACATGATGTTCCTCCAAAGTGCAGGGCTCCCAGCCGCACTAAGGAACCCCTTGACATACGTCGGGCATCGGGTGGGTCATGACACGATCCTGATGTTCAGAAATTCAGATATTAAAAGAAATGTAAAAGACAGCAAGGAGGTAAATCTCAGCTTGCTGAAGTCAGACGGTGTTTATCTAATATGATAGTCGAAAGCAGACGAGCCATTGTCATTAGGGACCGCGACTTCAATCAAGTCTAAGAGGCCCTCAGCATGCCAAGCCATTGTCACCAGAGAAACGAAATGGAACAGCTCAAGCCACTCATGAATCCAGCGGCAGGATGTTTCAAAGGCAAGTTGAGTCCAACCGCTGATGCTTCGAGGAGCTATAACGACCCACCGAAGACAGCACTCTTCACTTCTGGTCGAACATCGACATGAAATCAGAGCTGAAAGATACTTTCAGTGCAGACACAGTAACTATAATATATACTCTATAGACTTCTTCGGTAACGAGTGGTAGTTTTCGACACCAGGAAATCGGTAGCGGGAGAAATGTGTTTAAGTATTCCACTGTAACACAGGACATTGGACATACAGGGACATCGGCTGAAGTCGGTTTCGCCACAGCAAACCTTCCGAACACCTGGGGTGGCAGAAATACAACTCGAAGTGCTAGCTGAAGCTCAAGGAAGGAAGACCCACTTTCCTAGAAACAGGCAGGGGAGTCAAGATCTTCATTGGCAACCGTGCAACAGGCTGATGGGTATCTTAATTGGTCTGGGGTTCGATCATGATGAACAGAAGAAATCCGAACAATATGTTCATCCCTAAACATAAGAACGTAGAATTAGAACTTGAAACTATCCACAGCAAAAAAGGCAAGCATGCCCTGCCACCCTTTACGGATTCTGGCTTTGTAGCGAAGAAAAATCAAGTAGTGCTGCCATAATTTTTGGACAACTCATTCTTAATCGGCATCCTCATCAACCACTGGATGCAACATTTGTTTGAAAGGCTAGCTCTTGGAACACATTGGAATATTTGCAATGTGGGAGAGGGAATTCCATTGGTGATGTTTTCGGGAGTTTTACAGGAAATAGTTCCGGGTTCCGGGTCGACATTTTGCTGTGCCCGGTCAGAACCCAACCGTCCCCCATAATTTAAGTCTATACTGTAAATGTGTTGATGTGATTGGTTCATTCCAAGTGGTGCTCGCCTCATTTGCCACAAAGCATCAAAGCTTCGTGGGGCTGCGAATCTGCAGACGGTTCAGCTGTCCATGAAAAGGGGTGGCCACCGATGAAGCACATGTCCGCAACTATATTCAATGCATGCTGCATAGCGTTTTCGTTGGAATAGTTTACTACTTAAGGCATCTTAAGGCCAACATGCTGAACCTGACGTGGCTGGATCCTTCGACTCGCAGGCCGCCAACACGCGAGGGAAAGACCACTGGCACATTCAAGGCGAACTCTGCAGGCGCACCGAGCGCAACAAAACCCACGGCCAGACCTGCGGGCTCCCCAGTGCCTTAGTTCGATGGAAGAGTCATGTGGAGTTTTTAAGGCTCCAACCCGATGATCGATGGCCCCCTAGTAGCCATGGCCTCCACTCTAGTAGCGATGGCCTTCGACTCCAACCTAATAGCGATGGCCTCCAATTTCGTGATATGGTTAAGAGATATTAAAGGTTGAATTGCGAGATGTGGAGGAATCAACGGAAGGCACAGACAAAGTGCTTGTTGTGTGTACGCCCCGCTAGCGACATGCACGCCAATATACAGGGGAACTGGGCACTGAGTGACTGACCCAGTTCTAGGATAAGCTAGGGCCTAGGTGACAGAGTGGGATATTCAAGAACCGCACGACAGCTGGTCTACATGTTGATTTCTATACAATTGCAATGGCTTGCGGCCAAGCCAAGAACCGCGCCCATGTCACGGTGGCGATTGATTCGACGGTGTCGAGTATACGACGCTTTTGAACTCACGGGACCGTGGTCTTAGGAGGTTCTGGAGATTCTGGACTCTTTCAATAAAGCTCATCACCCCTCCTACCGGGTGGTTTATGGGCAAGGCAAAGTTGATGTGGCTGAGGTATAGTCGTCAATGCCCGAAATCATTCGATGGTAGGTCGCATGCAGAGACACCAGGGAGCTGACACCAGCAGCTGCACAAAGCGGATCATCGACCCGAGAAGAAAATCCAACGTTTTAATGGAAGCAATTGAACATGGACTGTGGAGCAGCTGATGGACCGTGAATTGTTTTGTTTACTTCACCGACATCTCAGACGAATTGTTACTACTATATAATGCGTTATATATAACAGTTCAATTCATAGGATGGTCCTATGTGGGCCTTCCAGCATCCAAGTGCCTTTGGGTATCCAAGGTTCATTTTAGAACTGGTTTCTCAGTGAAGAAGCCGGGCAACACCCGCAAAATCAGCCTCAGGTCCTTGCCCCTCCGACCATTCGGGGCGGCAGAGAAGACGACACTCCAGCTGTGCTGCCCGAAGGGGCTCAGCAAGCTCAGCAGGTCCTTTCAGCGGCAGAGAAGAAGATACTTGCACCCTGGAACGAGAGTGTTGTTGAATGTGTTTGAATGTCATTGTTTGCAGGTGGTTGGCAGGATGTGGATTTGGCATTAATGAAGCGTAACATGCAAAAATGCGGGCAGGGATGTCTATACAGTAAATAAGCAAAGGTGGAAGGAGGGATATGAAGATGACATGTTGTTTCTAATGGTAACTAGGGCACCAGCCCTTTGTTTCTTCATGTCTCTTCCGTGTCTCAAATGTTTTTCTCTTCAATTCTGCAAATGTGTCCACTGAGACTCTAATTGTTTGACCTGAGACTGCAGGAATCCGGAAGAAACTGATTCAAGGTTTGTCGTGGTTTTGGCGATTCTTGATGTAAAAATGAGCCACATCGTGTTGGGTTTTGGTCTCTTCTTTGGTGGTTTTCTGAGGACATTTCCAAGGGGGGACAACCGCCGATTCGAGTGAATCAATTAGTGTAGGGTCCCGAAAAGTGCACTCTTTTCTTGTGTTTTCGGATGTTTCCTCGTCACAGTGGACTTCTTTGGACAAAACCCTGGGCAAGTCGCCGCAAAAAGGCGCGGCCGAGGCGCCAGCAGCTAGCAACTCACCCATGTCTCCTCCTTCGGAGCCGAGCGACGGCTCTCCCCTGCTTTCTGTAACGGAACCTCCTCCTCCAGCTGCATCAATGAAAGAGTGTCGTTTGATGTACTTCGGATACAACAGTAGTGATTGTGTCCATTTGTTGTCCTATTTGATCCTATTTCTTTGTTCCAGGGGACTGAAAGAGGACCACAGCTTCTTAGGACGCACCCAAGGGCGGACGTTCGCCGAACTCAAACAGGCGGCAGCCTCTTTCCTTTGCGTGACACACTCTGAGGCCATGTTTCCAGAGGGTTTGCCGATGGTGGACCCCAACAGGCCTATGGAGTCACGACTTCACCTGGAGGCGCTGAAGGCTTCACACGGAGCCTCGCTGGCAAGGAGTGGACGCATTACATCGAATCGAAGCCCTGCTCACTTCTGGGGTTGTGTCCGATATGTTCCTCCGATTCAAGAAAGCGAGTGTATGACCACTTCTGTTTGTTTGAGTGCCGGACCACGTCTCTAACCAACGGGTTTGGATCAAATCGGATGCATCAATAACCTTGGATTATCAAAGTGGTTCTCCTGAATGCTTGGGTTTGGGAAAAGAATGGCTTCAGCAGAGGTGAGATGGTTCCCATGTCCCAAATTGTTCTTTCCCACTGTATGACGTAGTTGTAAGTTATATGTACTTTGCGTTGCTCAGCTTTAAGGAGCACCTCTCCGTGCATTTCAAGGAGCACCTTTCTGTGATGTTGGTCATTTCGTGGCCAAGAAATATCCAAGCAGTCGCAGAATCACAATATCGGTGGGACGGACTTTGGGAAGCTTTGGCAGTTTAGCACCCCATCCAAATACTGTCGCAGGAGATCCCATTCATAGGATTCGCTGTCCCAAGTCAATCACTTCGCTCGCTGATCCACTGAAACCAAAGTCGTTGTGTTCGTGTTTCGTCAAGGCTGGTATACGCTGATCACCTGGAGAGAGAGAGAGATAATACCTTTTTGGAATCAGGTGTACGAGGGTCCGAATCGAGGCTTCGTGCGTGATCCGCACGAAGCCTCGCACCGAGTTGGAGCTCGGCCTCCGGCCACGGTGCACCACACTCCGACCCCGCTGGCGAAAGCTGAGAGCACCTCGCGTGGTGCCGCGCCGCGGCAGAAGCGGAGAGGGACGCCACTTCGGCTGCAGAATGGGGAGAAAACCCATGAAAATCTAACCCAGAGCAAATGAATAGTTAAATATAGTTAAGTTATATTGATATGATTAATCATGATTACATAATCATGTGGCACCAGGTGGGTGTTGCTCGTCGAGAGAAAAACCGGGTTCGCTCGCAGGTTTTGGTCCGTGAACTTGCCCATGGGTGGCAGCTTGTCGTGTCGACAACTAGGAAATCCAAAAAGATCCAAAGCGGCATCCCTTCCAAGCAAACTGCTGTATAATAATACTGTATCGTTTGATATCGGATATCGTTTGATATGCGAGGCGCACGTGGCAATTCTCTACCGCGTAGGCTGTGTCTCACGGATCCTTTTCACATCGATGTTCACATCAATTGTTTTGGCCCAAAGATGGTGTTCCTCTTACCAACTTTCCATCACGACCATGACCTACTGTATCCTCTATGTCCAACAATTGTGGAAGTGAGAAGCCCCCTGTTTGCAGAGGAGAGTAGTCTTCCAGTGGGGCATCCATACCCCTACCAAAGTCCCAGGTGAGAATGGATCTCCCGTCCGCCTTTCTAACTAGAACATGTGAGATTGATCCTGACCACGTCAGGACCAGCGACACTGGTGATGGTCTTCCCAAGACCAAGACCACGAGCGGGGCAAGTTTCCAGAAGCTGGAGAGCCACCTGACACTGTGAATGCCATTGGACGACCACGACTATTGAACATCCCCTGAGCGTGCGTCGATATACTTGGTGTTTTCTTATAGCGGATTCAGCAGCTTCCCCCTGCAGAAGAGAAAAACGAACGCTTCGATCGAGTCTGACAGCACACAACCCTAGGCTCTCGCAAGTCTCATAACAGTCATAGACCCTCCCAAACTCGAAAGGATTGAAAGATGAATGTTTTCTTCAACCAGGTTGGGCCGATGTATAGGCTTATAAAGGCCATGTTAGTTTGGGAGAGTGTAGTTTCAACTCGAGTTGTGTTAAACATGTCATGGGAAGTCCCATGCAATCTGCAGGCGCAGCGGATTGCACGCACATCCATGAACCGATTTGAAGGATTTGCTCAACATGTTCATTGTCATACTCAAGTGCTTCACTAAGAGAACGGCACCAATGTGTTCGTGCCAAGAAATGCCACACACCAAGAGACGAAGCATCATAGAACGGCGCCTTTTTGAGTACATATATACGGTCCTGGGATGGATGATGTTCGAACCACATGAAGGCATGTGTTGTATCTCCAACAGAACCTGGCTGGGTGGATAGGGGAACTCAATATCAGCTATATAGCTCTTGTGCAAATCCTTTGGAGCCTGTTTGACACAATTTCTTGGATTACCTTGCCAAGATACATTATCATGGCATATCATTTCCATTGAAACAGAACAAACGTGCAAAAAATGGCACAGCAGAGCCGCAAGTGAAACTTTAAGCTGTTTCCTAACAATCTACTGAACTGAAGCTATGCCATTTTGGCAGGTGTGGTATATGAGCTGGATCATTCACATAGACGTACACTACCAGGTGGATACAGAGTTTGTGATCTACAAGTTGTTTGGTTGATACATTGATACATCTTGACACTAAGAAAATGATTATAAAACGGCTGCACTTCACATACGGGGCCGTCAGACGGCGGGCATGTTCACCCAATGATTCGGCACCCGTCGTGGGCCACCAGAGGTTTGCTACTAGGGGCTGCTGGCATCGCTACTAGTAGCAAGAAGCTAGTAGGCATCGCTACTAGGAGCAAGGACACCAGTAGGGGCTCCTGGCCTTACTACTAGGAACAAGAACGCTACTCACCCCCAGGTGCATTGGGGCGCAAGGCGGCCACCTTCCTCTCCGCGGGCAGCGACCCACGGAAGGACCTGGTGCGGCAGCAGAGCTCGCGCTTCCAAAGCGCTGCTCGGTTCTTTTGGGAAGAGAGTGAAATGGGTTCTGTTGGGATTGGATTCCACCAAGCAACTGGGATTCTTGGAGAGTGCTGTTTAGGGGGCACCCCTTTTGTTTGGTGTTGTGCCCCAAATGGGAGCATAGAGGAGTGGGTGATGCCCATGTCATGGGTATGTTGTTGTTTCCTTTATTTTTGCACGTGTTGTTTTTACATGTTCAGGCAGTAGGTTCACAAGAACCAAAGACTTGACAGAGAAACTTTGCCCCCCAATCACCACTGATTGTTCAGCTGTGGATGTGAGATGGTTGCCAAATTCTCACACACTATATAGAGGGGCTTGTGAAGATTCTCCTGCATTTTGTGAGATCTTGTGAATATGTGTGAACATATGTGATGGTGTTGGAGATTCTTCTCCGAAGTAATCAGTGAATACCGGACAGCCCACGAAGTGGAGTTCGAAGGCTCAAAAGAAAAAGCTTACCAGCACCCCTGCAGAGTAAAAACATCAACGCTCATTGGCACCAGGGCTCCGTCTTTGCGTCTCAGACGTTCGAGGCAGTGGAGGAGGAACGCGCAGCGAAGCGGATGCGACGGCTGTGCGAACTGGAGCAACTGGACTTTGCACAGGAGCAGATGGAGGAGTTAAAGAGCATGAAGGCCAGATTGATCCGCTGGGGCGACACATGGCGCAAGTGTGGAGAAACTCTCAGGCCATAAACCAAAAGACTCAAAGAGTCTAGAAAGCGGGAAGTGTGAAGTCTTGCCAGTTCACATTCAGTGAAAAGGATGTTTCCAAGTTTGGGCCGCCCGAACGATGTGAGAAGTGTTAAGTGTGCCTTGCGATGGGAGCTTCATACGATTGCATTGACTATGCTCTTCTAGGTGAAAGCGTTCCGCTGCAAGAAACTTGGTCGCATGTGGGATATCTTTTTGGCCAGGGCACTATAGACTATAGAACGGTCATGAGTCATCGACATTTGAATCTGGTGAACCCAAATTTATCAAAATGTTTCATGATACGGTGTCGTTTAGGTCGTCAGTTCAGTTCCCTCTCCGTTCAATAATCCACTGGCCACACAAACATAGAGCTCCAAACAAGAGGGGACCTCTCTTGTTGCGCCAGAACAAGTCGCACCAAAAGATCGTTTGGCATCGGTAATCCATCTCACACCAAAAGATTGGAGCTTCTGGGACTCGGCTTTGTTGTAAACGTGCTGTGGAAGAAAGATGAAGAAAGCTCAAGGGGAGAGCACAACAGGTGCACCAACAAACTTTATGTCTATGTTGTACCACCCGGTTGAAAAGGGAGCCACAATCAAGACCTCCAGCTTGGTAGGGATTGTATGTTTTGGCTGTAAAATAATGCAGCTAACAATCCAGAAGAAAACCAGGGCGTCTTTAAACATCGCTGCAGATGTTTACCATTTGACGTTGACCAGTTCTTACAGGTTAAAGTTTGTCCATTCCTGTTTGTTTTTCCGTTCCTCTTTTACTTCACCTCGGGACCTCTCGTCTCCTTTTTGCCAAGGAGCTGCTACATCACCTTCGACCAAGGCTCCCGGCAGCGTCTGTGGTGCCAGGCGAGGCCCCTGGAACAGACACGAACCCAAGGTAGGGATAGGTAGCAAAAAGGTGACCACCGCTTGTGAGGCTTCTAAGGATTTCATTGTTAGATGGCGATGGGTCGTTTGTTGCTGTCATGATTTGTCATATCGACATGTTTCTCTATTGGATCCATTTGGATCCATTTGGAGGCTTTGTTATGCCCTCCGAACGCTGTGAGCTCCGCACCGCCCAGGAACAAGGTCACGAGTTGATCTCCGTGGAGGCCACCAAGACCCGTTGGGAGTGCCGCAGCTGCCGGGCCAGCGAGGCCGGGAGCGGGATCCGTCCGTCACGGCGCTGAAAGAACATGGAAAGACCTGATTCACGTGGTGTGGCCCATTGTGACCATTCTCGGGTCTGGCAAGATTGACAAGAATGGGCTAAAGCTGTTGAACATGGGCACGGAACAGAGTTTCACTGGTAGAGTGGCTCGCGGAGTTTCAGGGCGTGAACGGCAAGGTGCAGCAGCGGTTGCAGTTGTGATTTTATAGTGAAGCACGGTGCAGCATTCGACCGCTAGCTGTGCACCATTGTTGTTTTGCTCAACAGCACAGTCACCAACTGGGTGGGACCTCTCCTGCCTTTAATTGAATTTCAATTCTAATTCTATCTATTTCTTGTTTCTAATAGCAAACATTGCTCCTAGTAGTACGGCCAGGAGCCCCTAGTAGCGTCCTGTAGTCATTCATGTATATTCACGTGTTTGTCTCTCGTGACCTTTGGATGAGGTAGAATCCTGGCCGGAGTTCCTGCCTGGTGGTGTGTTGGGTCGCAGTGTTCATCAAACGGTCACGACCACCAAACCGTTTGACGCTGAACGTGGTCAGGAGGTCTTGGGCCGGCAGCTCCCCAAAGGTTGCGCACGCTGTGGCGCAGATACCTGGAAGCAGGTGCCCCACCTGTTGGGGATTGGGCAGGTAGATGATGCCCGTGTGACAGGGTATGCAGCATGGCCCCCAGATCGTCTCACCAGCCAATCCCAAGTCCTATTTGGGCAACTCTGAAGATTCTGAAGGTTTAGCGTCCTTGCTCCTAGTAGCGATGCCAGGAGCCCCTAGTAGCGTCCTTGTTGACGACCCTTTAAACTGCAATGTGGACCTGACACGGAGTTGTGGGTCTTGCTAAAGCACCTTGACCCACTTGGCACACATTACGTCATTACGGGCGCTTGCAAAAGAATCGCATCCGGATTACCTCCGTTGTGGAAGAAAGTCCTGTCACAAAGGTCGCAGACACAAGTCGCTCTGGGGGGATTTGCCACCACAATGCACGGATCTGCCAACCAGCTAAAGACTTTTGGGGTGTTCCTCGGTCAAAAGAACGGCAAATTGGCTACGATGTTGCCTCTGCTCAGGTCTACCACAAAAATCACAGATATAAGTGCAAAATCAATGGCCAAACACTTTAGATACAAGAGTGAATGCACATGACTCCACAATGTTTATCTTTTTATCATACAAATCCATACAAATCCCACTTCTTTTCAGTGTGGACAGACTCCCTGCAGATCAGTTCCCCAATGCACTCTCACAGCTCAACTTCCGCGCCGGTCACAGGTGTCGTTGCGGAAGTTGCGCCGGCGCGCACCCATGGAGCGAGAGCTGTTGCTGCCGCGAGGGGAGGAGTCACTTGGGCCCAGACAGTCTGGTTTTCTCGAAAGAAAGGCCCAGACCATGCCTCGCCCGGCGGGTAGCGGCAACCATCGCCAGTCACAGTATTTACGGGGCATGGCCATTGCACAGTCGCTGAGGGTGGGCTCGGTATAATGTCAGATATGTCTCCATATTGAAGATACTGTAGCTCGCTCACCATCAAGAGACTTGAGGTTTGGACGGTGAGGGACAACAGTGAGTTGGGCGAACACATCAGATTCACCCAGAATGTTTGAAGCCAACAAGTTTCCCAGTCACCAAGATCACCAAGGCACCTTGGCATCCAAGTCCAAGTATATAGAATAATTGAATGGGTATGCACGGCATGGATTTCAATGCCAAATTCTAGGTTGGAGGCCAGCGCTATTAGGATGATATGTGTATATATATATATGTGTTAATTTACCACAGATAATTTTTTTGTTGGATCGACGTGTGCTGATTCCAGGCTTCCGTTCCTGAACTCCATCCACATCCCAGAGTCTCAGCTGAGTTGGTGGGGCTTTCCATTTGTGTGAGCACATTGACGCGCTCGAGAGGCGAATACAGAGTTTGAAATCCTGCTGTGACAGCTTCAAGGCTCTAGGTCTCGGGATGTTGCCTCTCCTCAGTGTGGAGTCTTGTTGCGTTTTACTGGTTCCTCGACATCATTGCTGGCACAGTTCAGTCATAGTGAATCCAACTAGGTCCGTGTGACCGGGTGGAATTGCTGTCAAGTTGGTCGGTTCTCTTTTGATCAGCAGGATTAAACTATATTGAACTTTAATGTGTTCGGATGGACCAGAACTGGCGGAACAACCCCTAGCAAACTGCTCTTTGCTGTTTCGGCCACAAGTGTTGCTTACTTTGCACAGCCCACCACGCGACGAACCGCGCCCAGGAGTTGCAGGGAGCACGGGCCTGGAAGCCCTCGAAAGAGGCCGCAGATGATTACGAGGGTCTATGACTGGCCGCTCATGGAAAATGTGGGACTGCTGGTTGAGCCTCCACTAGCAGGTGGCGCATGTAGTTGCAGTAAGACTACCTGGTTAAAGGGTAGAGAAGGTTGCGGCCTCTTGCCAGAATTTGCACTGGAAGGAAAGAGCTGAGAGAGGTGAACGAGCAGGAGGTGCTACCTTTGATCAAAAGCATGAAGGTGGCAGAACTGTCCTTCCAGAATTTGGAGCCCAGCAAGACTCCGGGGGAGGGCGAGCTTTGCTGGGAAGCACAGCCAGAGTGGCTGAAAGAAAAGGTGTGCGTTTCGGTGGCTGAGGTGGAGTCAGTGCGCGGGTTAAATCCAGTCCTTCCTACCTTGTGAAACACTTGGCCAAGTTGTCAATGGGTAGATCACACTTGTGTTATTATTGGAATGGATTGATCGAGCTTGGAATTGCAACACATTGGCCACGTGATACAAATCAGATGCAGAAGGTCCTAAATGTGCAGTGTTGCATTACTTGCATTTTTTATCTATGAGTAACATTCAACAGCGGCCTGTGAGAAATCATGATCGGACCATGTAAACCCACAATTTGTGCACAACCAACGGCGATATCTGAACAGGTCCACCGATCAAGTGATTAAACTTGCTTTGCCGCAATCCTTTTTCATATGGCAGTACCCAAAGTTTATCAGAATGTTGTCTAGGTGACGGAGCCCTCTCTCTCTCTCTCTCTCAACCCATATCCAGCTGTAGTTCACTTCCGTTGTGCTTTCAAGAGAAAGATGAATCGGGACATTGCAAAGCAGTATAGGGAACTACCAAAGTTATACCCGGAAAACTTGTGCTGTACACAGAGGTTTTGGCATGCGCTCATATTAGACCAATTAGGTGTCAATGTCAACATTTCTCGCAACCCCATTTGCTTGGCGCAATCCAATTACTTGAAGAAACCTAATGCACTGTAAGTCAAAAATCCCCGTGCAAACAACTGCGCAAGCCCTCAATGCCTTTCCACCATGTTAAAGTACTTTCGCTTTCCACCACTTCCCGCAGCATGTCCAGCACCTCAGGCTCGAGGTGCGACATTACCTGGAGGATTGGGAGCGGCGGTTGCGCAAGAGATGACCAGACTCAGGTGGGCCACATGGGGGGATTGGTGGTCATGCCACGTGAACAGGGTTCAGGTATCCTTTCGCGTGTTTTGGTGGAAGATCTAAAAAACAGTGTTGTGCCCGCCTCTTGATGGATTTGTTTGCGAATCCATTAAAAAGTAAGCCATATACAGAAATGATTTGTACTATAATACACGAGTTGCTTGGATCAAGTTCTTTTCCGACAGCTGGCGATTCACTGTCCAAAGAGGAGTTGCTAAGCTTTGAAACTGAGCCATGATATAAAGAAAAGATCATCGAGCATGCAATATCATGAAATCTGTAGTATCCCACATTGAAATTGGCAGAATGAACTGCCAGGAAAGCGGGGCATCGCCGTGGAGGCCCACTGAATGACATGGCTAGCATGGCTCCAGCCAGTTTCAAGCAAGGCTTTTTCAAAACCAAGTCTAATAACCTAGGCATGTGCAAATTGGACATGGAAAAAGGACTTATTTTTTCAATTCCAAGTTTAACAGTGTTTCTGTAAGATTCTGAATCTGTGGTTTATTGGGCGTTGTTTACACATGTTCGCCGTGTGACTTGGGACTGATGACAGGAGTCAAAGGTCAAGTGTTTCAGTAGAATCGGCGTTGATGCTGCGGAAAGACTTGGGACAGATGATATAGACCTCAAAAGCAGGAAGAATAAGACAACAAAGATGAACACTGTGTAATATTGCAATTACACTAAATGTATAATAGCAACATATTGTAAATATTGTTATAGTGTTATAGATCTTATGAGATGGTGTATATATGGTGTAATGTGAGATATTGATGGAATTATGGAAATTTATGTATTTGGAATATATATTTAAGAATTGATAGATTGATAATTCTTTGAATTATATGTATTTATTGATATATTATTGGATTTAAAGGAATATTAATATATAATTAAAGATTTAATATATATATATGGTTAAGCGCCATTTGCAGATTAAGAAAGGGAGCGTCGGTCGTGGCTTTCTTTTTTTCTACTTTTCGTGCCATGCGTTGCTTTTGAGTGTCCGTAGCATGCGTAGGCCCACTTTTTCGCTCCTTATCCTTATGAATTTTCGCTCCTCATCCTTTTGAACTTCATAGATTTGTAAAGCCTGGTCCTAAGTTTAGGCGGGATGGACCGAGATGAGCCTTTATGCTTGCACCGACCATCCCGGGCGTGAGGGTTGTCTTTCTCGCCTCAGGAGAGCGCGTGAGCCCGATTCATGTCCATGATATTCCACCACTGGGCGAAACATCCCGAGGCATGGGCAACAGCTGGCTTAGGCCTCGTCTAGTCTCGGAATCGGTGCAACCGATTAAAACGATCGTATATTCGAGCATGTTTTCGATCCTTGGATCATGGACTAGCCATATATCGCAATAAGGACTTGTATCTAGCACAGGTGCCCTTTCGAATACGCCAGCTATGGGCACAGCGTCGTCGACAGATCCCCTGCCCTCGGGTATCCAATCCGACCCCTCCCGCATCAGGCCATCAGGCCATCTTCAAGTGCTACAGTGGAATGCTTCAAGATCGCTGCACTATCCAAGCTGGCTTGCCTGGTGTGATCGATCACCATATGACATCATTATCGCTTAGGAAACGGGATGGGGAATGACAAGTGAATGGAGTACCCCTCAATGGCATGTGTTACATGGGGCCGATCGGTATGCTTCAGTTCTCGTGATGGTTCGTACAGCCCTGATCTCACGGTTGCACACCACATCCCCGGCAGGATCATGCAGGTGAGATTGCACTTGTACCGCCCTCACGACATTTTTGCCATCTATCAACATGCATGGAACTCAGGCGGGAACGTTTCGCAATTGTTGAACAAACGCCAACGAGTTTGGGATTGCCTTCGTAATTGCATTAACCATACCCCAACACGGAATCTTCTGGTATTAGGCGGTGACTATAACACACCTCTTGATTTCGATGGTCAGCATATTTTCACCAAGGATCCCAAGTATGCCAAAGCTGCTCAAACTGATCGGGACCAGTTTCGCGCACTAGTTCAGGATAACCGCATGGCAGCTATTCACACTAGGGTATTCCATCCCACGTTCGTGCATGGTAATCATAATATTCGAATCGATTTCGTGTTGATGCGCAAGGACCAGATTTCCTGGAGCCGAATGCAACCGAAGCATCACCCTGATTTCGACTTTTTGTTTGGCAATCAAGGCCCACGCCACTATCCATTGAGCTTCCATTTGTCCAAATGGTACCCAACTCCCAATCCCAAACACCATGAAGGCATCAACCGGTTCCGCCTTCGACAGGCCTGGACTCAGCACACTCCGCAATGGGACACCTTCCTGACCCAGACACGACAGGCCATTGCTACCACAACAACTCAGTCATCACCGATCGATAGTAATCTGGCATTGGAACGAAGTCTTGTCCAATTGTGTAAGCAATGTTTCCCGTCGGTCAAACGACAGACCCAGGTGGATCCTGTCTTTCGATCACTCAGTGCCCAGATGTGGCTAGCCCGGAAGGCTGTCCTGGCCTTGCCGAATTGTTGTCTCAAGTCCGTGTTTCAGGGTTGGTGCAACTTGACTCGTTATCGTACTTTGCATAAACAAATCAGAAAGTATAGTCGGATCAATAAACGGACCAAACTCGAAAACTTCCTCCGGGAAGGTGCTGACTTGGCCATGAAGCACCAATCATTCGACTTCTTTCGCCGAATCCGCACGCTCTGCCCCAAGCAACGGTACCAGCGAATTCACATGTTTGATGGTCATGGACAACCATTGAGCCCCCCACAAGAGCTTAGTGAACTGGTTCAATACTTTGGGACTCAATTTCATGATCCAGACTTTCAACCCACGGCCCTGCCCGCACTTCAGGTCTTGCCATTCGATGAGAGCACCGTGCATGCAGCCTTACAGCGCCTGCCTGCCTCCAAAGCCGTGGCTCCACCATGTCTCCCAGCCATTGTTTGGAAAGTTTTAGCCACTGAACTTGCTGGTTCGACATATCGCGCCTTGGCTCACTGGTGGAGCGCTTCCCCCCCACAAGCTCCTGATGAATGGACGGCTGGATGGCTGCATCTCATTCCCAAACCGGGAAAGCCCAGCACGAAACCGCAAGCACTTCGGCCGATATGCCTTCAACACCCTGTCTGTAAAGTTGCTTCGAGTTTTGTCACCACTCAACTGTTGCAATACACCATCGACAAACTTCGTTGCTTTCCTTTGTATGCTTATCTCCCCAATAGGAGTACTGCTGATTGTTTGCTTCGAGTGTCACATCATTGCAAACAGGTTCGCGACGACTGTCACATATACAGCCAGGATAATTCAAGGGCTGGCATGTTTGGCGGCTTGCAAGTTTCGTTAGACATGAATAAGGCCTTTGATTCGGTCAGCCGCAACACGGTGAGCCTTGCCATTCTCGGCTTGCAACTGCCCCAGGATCTCCAGACCATGATTCACACACTGTTGTCCCCCCCACAAATACTATATACCACATAAAAAGTTAGTGGGTGAGATTTTGGCCACTCGAGGGATTCGGCAGGGATCAAAAGACGGTCCGATCCTTTGGACACTTTGTATGCATTTGGTGCTCACCGATCTGGCGGCTCGATACTCGTACCAATGGATTCACGAACATGTCATAATTTATGCGGACGACGTGCACTTGCGATGGCGCACTAGTCAGCTGGCCGATGGCCTCACTGCCCTTTCAGACCTGGACCACATTCTTCGAGTCTTTCGCATGTATGGCTTCTCCATCAACCTTGAAAAGAGTGTTGTCTTGTTTCGGGCCGTGGGCAAAGGGGCACACCGATTCACCAAACGGTGGGTTGTCCGCACCAAAGCTGGTCCTTTTCTGACCATGCCTGACTCCTCGATCCGACTGCCCATGGTTTCGAAAACGGCGTACCTTGGTGTGATTATAGGATACAGGGCATGGGAAATGGACACAGTAGCACGACGTGCACAGGCCGCTCACATGTGTTTTTCGACCCTGAGGAAGTGGCTCACAGCCCAATGTGTTCCGCAAGACATCAGGTTTCGATTGTACCATCAATGCATTGCGCCAACGCTCATGTATGGTATTCATGAAATGGGCATCACACAGAAAGGCTTTCGTAAGCTAGTTAGCATCATCAATGTGCACTATCGACGCATGATCAGGGCCCCTGTTCACTTAACACATGAATCCACACAGGACATGTTTTGTCGACTGAATCAACCTTCTCCCTGGGCGATTCTCCAGAGCCACAACCTTCGACTGCGCCAGTCGTTGCTGCACAAGATTCAGCAAGCAGTCGAATCTGCCATGGATGACCAACCTCCCGATGTGATTGCATTGACCCCAGATTATCCCACGAGCCACTTAGACACGCCGAGTGATTCCTCCCAACCTCATGCTCAGGATCCCTCTCTTGAGTGCCCGGAATGTCATCGACAGTTTAATCAGGCCGGGATGCTGAAGCGGCACATGCGTCAAATGCACCACATCCCCTGTTTGCCAGAAGATGTATATCATCCCCTGCGCGACTCATACGATGGCACTAGTGTCTGTCGTCATTGCATGACCCAATTTTCCAACATGACGACATTGCGTACCCACATTAACAAACGTGTCTGCACAGCTTTTGACTTGCATCAGGCCCTGGTGATCCCGATTGTGTCCAGACCTGAAGTGGCCATGCACATTCGACACCGGTCGTACATGGGCCTGTACTTGGATAAGCCATTGTGCCAAGAGCTTGCCACTCGCTGTGCCTTCTGCAACCAACAGGTCCATGCCAAGGCAATGACCCGTCACTATCGAGACCACCATCAGGAGAAGATCAAACCGACCAACACACACTTGGAAATGGTCAGAGGCTTTGCCAACTTCGGGTCAGGCCGAGGTGAATGCCCGCTTTGTTGCACCAGAACGCTCAATGTCCACACACACCAGTGCAGTGTGGTATACCAATTGGCCGCCATGACAGCCCACGTGTTTGATCCAGCTCACTTTCCGGTCATGCCATGCATGAAGCGTGCATGGTATCCATCCTCGACCTCAGGTACTGATCAAGTGCCTGACGAAGCTCCTGATCCGGGTCCAACCATCAAGAAGCTCCGGGGCCCCATGGACCTGACATCAACCCCGGACACAGCCCTGATCGCCAGATCCACTGCTGCCCCATCCAGTTCCGATCAGGCCAACACCAGTCCCTCGATCTTCAAGTGCACCCAATGTCCGGCAGTGTTCTTGTCCCCCCAAGGCCTGACCCAACATCAAGAAGTACATCATACTCCCGGGTCGACCCATGCCCAAACGGCTAGGCAGCCCAAGCGTGGCCGACCTCCAGGTAAAGATACCATCCAGACCCGTTTGGCTGAGACTGCAACCACCGAGATTCCAGTCCCATTGTCTGAGTTCACCTGCCCTTTGTGTCTAGAAGTCATTGGACGAAAAGGTCTGGCCCAACATGTCCGCCTGGCGCATCAGGTTGACAAGCCGGAGTCATTTCCCTTTAGGCCCAGCCGTGACATGATGCCGGGCCGGTTGAGCTGCATCCATTGTAGAGCTTCGTTTACGATGCCGTTTGCCTTGCAAAATCATTTTAGCAGGGGAACATGCCCACAGCTTGTCATTCAGTGGATCCACGACCAACACTATGGTCCTTCCGTCCCGCTTGAAGTGCACGATGCCAT